CATGCTACCACTAGAGTGAAAGCACCGCCAGCATTCAAAAGTGACCAAAACTTCAGCCAGAAAGCATAGGAACTGAGAAGTGGTCTGTGGTCACCACCTGCAGAACCACTCCTTTATTGGGGGTGTCTGTCTTGCTAATTGCCTATAATTTCCACCTGTTGTCTATTCCATTTGCACAACAGCATGTGAAATTGATTGTCAGTGTTGCTTCCTAAGTGGGCAGTTTGATTTCACAGAAGTGTGATTGACTTGGAGTTACATTGTGTTGTTTAAGTGTTCCCTTTATTTTTTTTGAGCAGTGTATATATATATATATATATATATATATATATATATATATATACACACACACACACACACATATACATACATATCTATCTATCTACAGTATATCTATATCTACTATCTATATAGATACTCATCTTCTGTCTCCTCCTGTTAATTAATCTGGATTGTTGTCTCGTATCGTCTCGTATCGTAGTCTCGTTGTGTCGTAGTCTCGTTGTGTCGTAGTCTCGTTGCGTCGTAGTCTCGTTGCGTCGCCGCCTCGTTGCGTCGCCGCCTCGTTGCGTCGCCGCCTCGTTGCGTCGCCGCCTCGTTGCGTCGCCGTCTCGTTGCGTCATTGTCTTGTTGTGTCGTTGTCTTGTTGTGTCGTTGTCTTGTTGTGTCGTTGTCTTGTTGTGTCGTTGTCACTCTTCTTACTGCTGTACGGTTGCCAGGTGACCAGAACGTTGTTGAGAGGAGAGAAGTCCAGCAGAGACGTCTTCGGGAGGTCCAACGTGGAGACGATGGAGCCATCTGAAGACTTCACCACAGAGACACTGAGAGACAGACAGACAGATTTAAGTGAATTAACTGTTCAATAGTTCAGGTTTAAGTTCTATGATGTCACATCCTGTTATTGTTTCATCTGTTATTCATGTCATACTTCACATTTGTGTTTGTCCCATTATATCAATATTAATATAATTTTAATAATAATTAGAGCTGGGCAAGTTAACGCGTTATTATCGCGTTAACGCATTAATTAATTAACGCCGACAATTATATTATCGCGCGTTAACGCAGTTATTTATTATTAAGCGACATTTTTAACACAAGAACCAGGCAGCGAGCGGTGAACAGCTGTGTTTGTGTGGTGTCACTTCCTTCTTCCCCCCAGGTCCAGAACCCCTCCTACACTCCGTCACCGTCGTTCACTCTTGTCTCACAAACACACACACTAGGGCTGGGCGATATGACCAAAAATGCATATCACGGTATTTTGTAAGACTCTGGCGGTTTCACGGTATATCACGGTATTTTTCTTTCGCGTTAAAGCATTAATTAATTAACGCCGAAAAGAAACGGCCGGCCAGCGAGCGGTGAACAGCTGTTTGTGTGGCGTGTCTTCCGTTCCGTCACTTCCTGTTTCCTTCACCGACATTCCCCTGGGTCCTAAGCCCCTCCATGGAAAGAAACGGGATTAGACCGTAGGATTTAGTTGTTAGTATATTATTATTAGAACAGTGAAGAAAAGGTTACCCTGAAAATGCACACTCCGGTACACTAGGTGGCGGTATGCACCTATGCAAGTTGGTTGCGATCCGCCAATGGAATTTAAAGAAGAAGAAGCCCCTCCATGTACAGCTTCTTATCACCGTCTATGTACCAACGTACATTTATAACAAATACCACACATATTACGGTAATCAGCGTTGCATATGTGTCTGACCCAAATACCTTTTGTTGTTCAGTCTTTGTTCATCCTGTATCGCTCTGTTCTGTTCTTTAATGTAACGTTACTGGAGTGACAGAGCCTCTCCCAGCTGTTAGCAGACTGTTAGCGAGCTTTACCCAGCATGCAGTTCTGTGGTGAAATTTTATAAATGTACAATTATTAGTGCTACAAATTGTTTATCTGTCACAAACTGTTGTGTCGTGGTGTTTTGCCCTGTTAAAGAGCGTTAGTTGTGGATTGTTAATTGTTATAAAGTTATGACCATGACTAGGGGTCCCTCTCAATACACTTAATACAACTAGCTCCGACTGCAGCGCTCTCAGCGGCGAACAATATATTTTGCTGCCTGTTGAAGAGCGACAGAAGTTGTTTTGGCTGTGCACCGGTATGACGGTATATGAAAAATTCATATCGTACGGGAAATTAAAACTGGTATACCGGTTGAACCGGTATACCGCCCAGCCCTAACACACACACACACACACACGTGTGATCGTCTCGTTACAGGATCAAACGTGACTGTTGTGAAGTGGAGCTTCTAGTGAGGACCAAGACACGTCTTGTTTGAACGGAACACTTTACTGTCTGAACTGCAGTATTACAGTGTTACAGTGAACACAACGCGCTCTTGCACCCGACATGTGGTTTCCTACGTCTCATCAACATTGTTAGCGTCAAGAACACGTACCATTCTACTTCCTGTCTCTTCAAAGTAAAAGCACTTCCGGTTTCATGCTCTTCACAATAAAAGTAAATCAGGCAATCAAACAGTTTACAACAGTGACAATATTAAAATACATATTGTCGAGTTTTTAAAGTGTTTTGTTTGTAATATGTATAATAAGCATCATTTAGTTATCGCTACTGAGAATTTAACAAACATAAAAACATGATGTAGATATGTTTGCAGTTTTCAAGGTGTATATTTAGATATCATCTCTTACACACATGAAGATAAAGTTGTGAACACCGGCTGAATATCTATGATCAGAATCATTACAACTGTGTTATAACTGCTGTGTAAAGGGAATACTGCTGCTAACAAGAACCTGATGCGTTTAAAGTGTTTAAACCAAATGTTATTGACCTTTTGTTCATACAGCAGTCCTTTAAAATAAAAGTGCGCAATACACTACTTTTGAATTCATGATTTAACTTTGCGCATAACAATGAGATTAATCGCAAAAAAATCAGGCGATTAATCGCGATTAAAAATTGTAATCGTTGATTGTAATCATAATAATATTATCATTATATTGTAGAATAGTTACTTGAGTCCGTTGCACCAGCCGAACAGCGTCCCGTCTCTGCTGAAGGAGACACACCTGCTGGGCCGAGAGTCCCTGAGACACAGAGACACTGTTACACCTGTTACACATGCTACACCTGTTACACATGTTACACCTGTACACATGTTACACCTGTACACATGTTACACCTGTACACATGTTACACCTGTACACATGTTACACCTGTACACATGCTACACCTGCTAATGTAACAAGTTAATGCAGTGATTTGTTACCTCTGGAAGGATGAGTGCTGCTCACATGAGGGAGGACCAGAGAGGAGAGAGGTACCATCAGACCCACGCACTGAAACACACACAAACACACAGACTCATATACAAACACACATGTAATTATGAGTTTCAGTGACACACCCATCACTACTATTCATATAATTATAATGCATACACTGATCAATAACAGGGTTTGTATCAGATCAGACTGATCTGCTGCTGAAGTTATCAATAATAAAGATATCATCATTACTGCGTTTGTTGTAATTATTATTCTATATCCACTTCTGCTCTTATTATTATCAGTCGTAATGTTTCCATCATTATTCTACTCTCTCGTCTTTAAGTCTTTAATATCTCTAAATGAGATGTAAACCAGACTTCATAAGGAAATCTAATGATTACACATCTCCGTGCTGACCGGCTGAGCAGCATCACATTAACTCACATGGAAGACATTTACTGAACCAGCTCGTGCATCTCTTCCATTCGGCAGACATTTAATCTGTATAACAGAAATCATTTCAGTACTTTTCTAACTGTTTGTATCCGCTCCGGGTCTATTTCACTCTCCTGAGACATCCGGTGATGTGTGCGTCAGGAGCGCGTGATCACGTTTTAGAAGATAATTTTTTTTAACGTTCTGGATTGTTACTTGTGAATTGTATTAAGCCGAATAAATCAGTAGACTCGACTGATTCTAATGACGTCTCTACTTTTCTTTAGGACGTGTATTTATCTGTTAAAAGACAAATCAATAGAAAACGAGAGATTTTACTCGGAGTTTGGCGCCAAACCAACTGACGAGAATCAGGGTCGCTGACATGCGCGCGCCTGAACTCTGCCTCTTTGATCTTTTCCGGTGGTTCGGTAATATTATCGGTGACACAACAAAGAGTTTCATTAAAAACTAAAAGTACCCACCTGCTAGCAGCGGGATGGGGGACGCCATGTTTATGTGTTACCGGAAGAAGAAAAGCCGTCTACCGGAAACACGTCAGAAGTAGGCGTGTCTCTGATCAGTGCCACATCAGCATACAGTCCGCTCTCTTCTTCTACACGTCATTTAAAAACATCTCCTTTTTTATTTATTTTAATATTCTGACATAAATTCTTTCGTTTTTACCGCTGATGACACACGCTGTCTTCAATAAATACAGAAAATGTTTATTATACGTTTATTACGTTTAAAGCGGCATCAAGTTGTCGGAGAGCAATCGAGGGTGACGTCACTTCCGTTTCCAGAGTAAAAGCACCGTGTGTTTTTAAGGAAAATACTTTTTTTAGTTTCTGCTGCTTTCCACTTCTACTACATCTCAGAGTAAATATTGTACTTATACTGCTTTACATTAATCTGACAGTATATGTATATATATATATATATATATATATATATATATATATATATATATATATATATATATATACGTATATTTTTGTACTTCAGTAAGATGTTGAATGCAGTACATGTACCTGAGTATTTCTATACCATGGTATTAATACTCTTACTGAAGTAAAACTACGTTGTTTTCAGTCAGTGAATCAATAATATTAATAATCAAAGAAGGTTTCAGCTCAAATAAAATGTAACTTTACTCAAATAATTGAACCTGCATGTTTTTAATCGTTAGAACACGTAATAAACTCATTGACGACACGCGACATATAATGAGTACTTTATTTTGAAAGAGTGCGCAGGAAGTCTTATTTTGACACACAGTAGCTTTACTCCGGAAGTGTCCGTGTTGGGGGCGGGGCTTCATATTTTTGAGGACGTCGACAAGAGAGAGGAGCTCCCAGTAGCGTTACGAGACGAGACGGAGAAGAAGAAGAAGAAAAATAATAAGAAGAAGAAGCAGAAGAAGCAGAAGAAGCAGCAGCTGCTTCTAAATAAAACAATCTACTAGAAACAGAAGAAGAAGAAGAAAAAGACAAGATGGTGGCTAAACAGAGGATCCGGATGGCGAACGAGAAGCACAGCAAGAACATCACTCTGAGAGGAAACGTGGCCAAGTCAGTGGTGAGTTCACCGATACTGGTTTATACTGGGACCACCAGACCAGATCTACAGACCAGTTTATATATACAAGTCAGTGGTGAGTCCACCGATACTGGTTTATACTGGGACCACCAGACCAGATCTACAGACCAGTACCACGTTAGACTGGGAACTAACACAAGCTTCTACTGGGAACACCAGACCAGGTTAGACTGGGTCCACCAACAGGTCTACAGACCTGTATCTACTGGTCCCAGTTAACGTGGTGGAACAGGAAGCTGTTTGTTATCATAATTGTAAATGTTTGTACAATGAACAGTAAACTCAGCTGATCAATAATCAATAATACCAATGAAGCAGTGACTTGTGATGAGAAGCAACAGGAACAAGAAAAGTCTTCATAATCAATAATCTTCTGGTGTGTGTGTGTGTGTGTGTGTGTGTGTGTGTGTGTGTGTGTGTGTG